TTCCTGCAAAAGGAAAACAAGATTCATCAAAAACTACATGCCTTAAGATGTAGATGTTCCCACTTGGTGCAAGACATTGATATCCCCTATGATAAACGCTATAACCAAGGAACGTGCATGGTTGAGACCTAAAGTCTAGCTTATGTTGCTGAAACATTCGAAGATGTGGGAAACACCTGCACCCAAAAACACGCACACCACTGTAATCTGGTAGCTTATTGTAAAGGGCTTCAAACGGTGACTTTCCATCCAGAACCTTGGTGGGCATTCGATTAATAAGGTACACAGCTGTACTTACAGCATATGACCAGAACCTTAAAGGTAAAGAAGCTTGTGCCATCAAGACCAGTGCTGATTCAATAACATGCTGGTGTTTTCGTTCAACAACACCGTTTTGTTCTGAGGTGTGAGGACAGGTTAATCGGCGATGAACTCCCATATTTGCCAATATTGCTGTGAATGGTCTGTACTCTCCACCCCAGTCAGTTTGCAGTTCCTTTATTTCTGTCTCAAACTGAGTCTTAACAAATGCATGAAACAAGTGGAAAGCATGCATTGTTTGATTCTTGTTCTTAAGTAAATATACCTAGCAATGCCTTGTACATGCATCTACAAAAGACACATAATAGCCGAAACCATTTGAAGTTATGTGCGAGGGTCCCCATAGGTCAGAAAACACTAACTGAAAAGGTTTGTCATACACTGTTTTAGACTCATGAAACGGTATTTTATGGCTCTTCCCCATTCTACAAGCTACACAAACATTTGTACTCTCTTTATTTATCGAGGGAGCAACATTGACTCCAATTTGTTTACAAATTTGCACCAATGATGCATGAGCAGGATGCCCAAGCCTTTGATGTCACAAATCATACAAGTTTATGCTAGTAGCTACATTTACTATCATTGAGTTTGATTTCTTATCACAAGACACATTATCAGCAGCAAAATGATACAAACCAGCAGTCTCTCATCCTTGCAACAACACTACTCTAGTCTTCTCATCTTTCACCAAGCAATGATTCGCATGAAACTCAAAAAATACCCCGTTCTCTCTAGCAAACTTAGAGACAGACAAAAGATTTTTAGTGACATCAGGAACATGCAGAAAATTATTAATGTAAAGAGCTCGAGATCTAGTTCGAATGAGAGATGATCCAAACTTGTATATATCAAGATTCTGTCCATTTCCCACATCTAACTTACATGGTCCTGAATAATCAGATGCATTGTTAAATTTGGAACTGTCTGGAGTTACATGATGAGTAGCTCCTGAGTCTATAACCCATTTGTCTGAGCTGGAAGATGTTGAAGACAAGGTCTGCATTGGAGCACATCCACTGTTTACACAGGTATAACCTTCACTATCAAAACCAGTTAACTGTGTATTAAAGGACTCATGCTTATCAGCAAGAATTCCAGAAAATGACTGATCAAACCGATGCCAGCATCGATCCACAGTGTGCCCCATCTTTCCACACAGTTGACATTGTACCCTTGTTCTTCCTCGACCTCGATTACTCGTTCGACCACGCGAATATTGTTGTGTCATTCGTTCATTCCCAGTATTCTGTTGATCAGTAGATTATCCAGAATATCTTCTTTGATTGCTATTCTGAACATGTGCAACATTTTCACTGAGAAGCGGTTGAGATTGTCCTTGAAAACTTTTAAGTTGAGCTTCTGCATCAATTAACATAGAATGAACCACATCTACTGTAAAGGCATCTTTACTCGCTGTAATTACAGCAACAAAAGGTTGATACTCGAACGAGAGTCCATTCAGAATTGTAGCTATCTGATCAATGTCAGAAATGACACTGCCACACGCAGCTAGTGCATCACACACCTCTTTGATCGAAGTGAGATATGATCGCATACTTTCATCTCCTTTCTCGATGGACCTCAACTTGCAATGCAAACTCATTATACTGGTAGTTGATCGATTAGAGAAGAACTTAAGAATTGTAGCCCATACCTCAAAGGCAGTTTCAACACCAACAAATTGTGATAGCAGATGATCACTGATGGTGGACAAAAGCCAAGAGGCCAGAGCACTATCTTGTGCAACGAATACATCATATTCTTCATTGATGACAAGATTGCCATCTGTATCAGGTATTCTTTCAGGTGGGGATCGAAGATCTCCGATGAGTAGCCTCTCAAGCCGATGACTTCGAACCGTTAAGAGAACCTGCTGTTTCCATTGAAGGAAATTCATCTCATCAAGCATGATGTTGATGCGTTTGTTTGTGAACATCTTTCTGGGTCTCAATGATTCTGAACTGCCAAGAATGTTTCCAGAACCACCAAGTGCCATGATCCCAATTCTTGCAAGATGAAATCGAAAAGTCTTGCCAAGAATTACCACGCAGCAGTAGGAATACAGCTCATCCCACAACCAGCTGAGCGATTGATACCATGATAGAAAACTCAATTACTATGAAAAATAGATCATTGTGTGTACAAGACTCTGCATATCTTTATATACAATCAATGTATAACTGCTATACCAGCTATACCAGAAAGACAGTTACATTTCAACTAACTAACTAACTAAGCAAGATTATATATTCTACATGCTCGAGCATGCTTATGATGTAGTCCATCCAATATTCCTCAGTTACTAATTGATCTAACTCCAAGGAAGAATCGTCCGAGAAGCTTCGTGTAGAGCTGATTAGCGCTTCCGCCTGCTTATCTTCGGGTCCTTCGCTGCTGAAACACCCACTATCGCGATATGAAACAGTAACACATCCAGCAACTGCCTTCGCTTCCTCCATTTTCTTTTTCTTCTTATCGACCTCCTTTTCCCCATGAATCTTGGAATTGTGGGCTTTTGCAAGTACATGAAACCGAGTTGTTTCTTTGTTTGACGAGTAATCAAGTGACTCAAAACTAATGCCAGGGGATAAATGTTGTGTGCATGATCGTGCTCGACAAGCGCAGCCAACGGATGCTATCTTTGGCGACAAATGGTGTTTGACGAAAGAGCCATTCGGTGTCAATGGCGACGGTGCAGGGGGTTCGGATAGCAGATATCAAATGCTTTTGGATTCACCGGAGATAGCCGGTGAATTGCCTGACCTGGAGTCTCAGCTAAATTAGAAGATTTCTTTGATCGACAAAATTGGAAAGATGGAATAACACGAGAAAATCTGAGGTTAAAACGTTTAGCCATCTTCAGAAAGTTGGCGTTTGTTTTTGTTTACAAATTCCAGGATGGAAGACGAGTATATAAAAGTGAAACGGCCGGCTATATATAATAAAAATAATAATAACAGCTTTGTACCCAAATTTCTCATATAATTAACTGATCGAATCCAAGTGATGATCTCAGGTTTTATACACTATGAATGCTATGTAAAATTCCTTAGCGAAACGTAGGGTTCGTAAACGTCTGTACATTAGGTGTCTGGTGAATGTAAAATTTTATATATTAACATTGTAAAATTTCAAGTGAGATAATATTTGTATTGATATTATTGTTTTAATTGTAAGATGCCTCAAATTCCAAAGGGAAAAGGGTGCAGCAGTCAATTAGGTATCAACATCCTGAAATATAATGGGAGTAATTGCTGGAGTTGTATTCTGATATACATATAATATTTGACATATAAGCTTCTTGGAAAATCCCACCGCAGGTTTTACTACATGATTTTTGTTTTGTATGTAAAGGGCTGTTTGTTTGGCTTTGAATGGAACCATTCAGTATTCAGACTGTTTGTTTTTTACCTCTGAATGATTCAGTGCTGATTGATTCAGCAAAACAGTGCTGACAAAACATTAAGCACTAAATAACGATAATGGAAATTTTGGCAACAGTGCACACGCATTTTTTTTTTTATTTTTTTACTCAGCTCTTTCTAGACTACGTATTTTGTAAACACTTACTATTAAATATGAACTTAAAATGTAACTATATAAGAAGAAGCTAAATATTTCATATTCCCCCCGCATTTATCACTTAATACACCTGTCTTTAATCTAATATAATTGAGTATAAAATTCAATTGATGAGAAATTCCAAATTTGCTATGAACGAATCATAATAATTACCAAATGCAATTGAAATATATTCCATTAAAATATCGCATAGTCAAAGATGAGCAAACTTGAAGTTGACTTTCTACTTTAGCTATGCAAATTTTTAAAAATTGTAATTAGTCACTAATTTCTCTCAATTTCGATTAAATAGGGAAAATTAATTTCAATTCCACTTATCCATGCTAAATCTCACTGTTCTAAAATATGGAAATAATATTTCCAACCTTTATGTAGCATCCTTAAAATTTTTGTGAAATTTTGGTTCTATCCGATTATCCGATTCCTTACCAAAATTTACTACTTTATAATTTTTAATACAAATCCCGAACCAAAATTCTGATTCCCCTAATAACATTTATTTTGGGATAAACTATTCATTTACGTGTCAAAATATATAACTTTTAAAAATTACATTTTTGGTCTTTAAACTTTTTAAAAGTTATACTTTAGCCAGTTAGCTTTTAAAACTTACATTTTGGCCACTTTTCAAAATTTGGTGTATTACAACTCCACCATAAAGAAGAAGATGTGAGGAAGAAATAAAAAATTCTTTGTTTATAGAATGAGCTTTTATTGCTTGTAAGATAGTACAACCTACCCATTAAATTAAGGTTAAAGTTGGTATTTCCAACCCAGTAAGCTTTTCAACCTTAAAAGCTTCTAAAATCACACCTTTTGGGTTTGGGTCTAAAATCATGTTTCAAACGTCAATTTGACTCAAAAGTGTATTTGTTTGGGATTGCTTTTGCTTAAATAAGTGATTTTAGGGTGTTAAAAGCAATCCCAAATGGGCCCTTAGAGGTTATGAGTTCGAACAATAGTAACTGCAACATGATGATTGAGTGCTCATTTTCAAATAGTTGAGAATATTCAAAATAGATACTACTTTGTAATCAACTTAACTTAATTAATGATTTGTTAATTGAAAGTTTCTGTTAAATGTACTTGCTGCTATGGAGTTACCTGAGGGATTTCGAATGTGGATTGGGACCTGTGTGACTGCTTCTAAATTTTATGTGGCTTTCAATGGTATTTTGGTAGGATTCTTTAATGGTCAGAGGGGATTGAGACAACGGGATCCATTGTCACCTTATTTATTTGTTTTGGTAATTAATGTGATATCCCATTTGTTGGATGTTGCTTCTAGGGAGGGAATTTTTAAGTATCATCCCAAGTGCAAGAGAATTTCTTTGACACACTTATGTTTTGCTGATGACCTTCTAATATTTTGTTACGGGTCTATGGATTTTGTCTTTGGTGTGAAGAGTGTGCTTGAGGTTTTTTATGGAATGTCTGGCCTAAAGTTGAATGCTGTTAAAACTGAATTATTTGCTTGTGGCATGGATGGTAGGACACTAGAGAAAATTTGTGATGCTATTGATTTCAGACTTGGTAAGATTCTTGTGAGATATCTTGGTGTACCTCTAGTCACAAGAAAACTCACGGAGAAAGATTGTTTGCCTTTGGTTGAGAATATTAGGGGTAAACTTGTTGTGTGGTCTCACAAGAAACTTATTTATGGTGGGAGGCTGCAACTTATTAAGGCTGTGATTTTTGACATTACTAATTTTTTATGCAGGCAATTGATACTTCCTAAGGATATTATTAGGAAGATTGAGCAATTATGCATGCGTTTCTTTTGGATGGGTAACGACTCTTCTCCTAGGAGTGCTAGAATTAGTTGGAGTCAAATATACAGTTCTGATAGGGGTTTGGGAATTAAAGATCTCTCTTGTTGGAATTGATCTACTGTCTGCTGCTTATCAAGCATATTCTTTCTTGTGAAGGCTCCTTATGGGTTGCTTGGATCAATGAATATGTCTTGATGGGGCATAACTTTTTATATGTTGTTAGCAGACCTCATTATAGTTGGATTCTGATGAATCTGTTTCTTATGGGAGGGATTGTTGCTTCTCTTTTTGGTGGTGGAATCGATTGGAACAAGAAGATTGATTTGAGAGAAAGTCAGGTAGAGGATGTAATATCCCAAACATCAGGTCAATGACTATAATGTAAGGATTTAAAATTTGGTGGTTTAATATGAATAAATTAAAAAGTACAAGGACTGATTTAGGAAATTATGGTCAAGACTATTTATTAAGGATGGAAGATTGGATGGATATTATGGTCTTTTAGAAGGAAATGAATTTAATATTAATTTCTTTTAGAGATTTATTAAGTGTTTAATAGGGGAAAAGGATAAGGCTGAGACTTTGGGTTTTCTACTCTTCTTATTCTTCTCTTCCCCGTAACTCCATAGCAAAGATAAGATTTCTTCAAGTTAGTTTTTCCTTTCATTTTTAGGTTGGTTTTGAAGCCTTAAGTGATATAGAAGCTTAAGGAAAGCTTAAGAGTGAATAAAACTAAGAGATTTGTGATTTAATAAAATGAGTTTTTAAGTGATTTGATGAAATTTGGTCAGAAATTGGAGTTTAAAAGTAAAACTGACTTGTCAAAGATGTAAATAAGAGATTTGGAGCCTTAGAAGTGATTAAAAACATGATTGAAATTTTGGTGTGATTTTTAGTTTTGAGTGTTCTTTGGAGATTGTGGATGTTATAAGGAGATTTATGGATGTAAGTTAGTTGGGTTAAGTGATGATGAGTTTAATGGTATGGTTGGAGATAAGAGTAAGAGATTAAGGGAAATTTGGGTAAAAGTCGAAGTAAAATACGAAAAATCTGAGTAAGGGTATTGGTATTGGAAGAACAGTATTGATACTATAAGGTTAAATTAGAGGAAAGAGAATGAACACGATGATCAATATCGATACTGATTAAAGTAGTATTGATACTGATGTGGAGGTATCGATACCAAGAGGAAGGTATCGATATTGTAATTGAAAAATGGATTTCCAGAATGCAAAAATGGTATCGATACTGAATTGGGTATCAGTACCATAGAAGAGAAGTATCGATACTGTAGGAGAGGTACTGATACTATTCAGTCTGAAATTTTAAGTTAAGATGAATTTTAAAAGAATTCGAAATTAATGGTATTTTTGAGTATTAATATTTTGTATAAATGTTAGTAAGGATACTAACATTGTATTTTATATTTGTATATGTGATTATGGATGCTTGTGTAGTTCGTGATCAAATTTGTGATACAAACAATTCAAAAAGGCAAGGAAAAAGTTCAAGAATATTTGGAAATCGTCAGTAAGGCATCATATTGAGGCATATCAGGTGAGTGCATATATTATGTACTTATATGATATGAGGATGACTTGTGATGAGTCAACCTCGAATATTTTGATAAAACTATGTTTTATAGTATTTTGAAATATTTTCATAAAGTTTATGAAAATGAGTTTACGAATAATTATAGAGTATGAACTGCACTAAAATAAATGAATGAACTTTTATATTGTTTTAATAGTTATTGATGTTTCAGAAATAAATGTTTAATCTATGAATTTGACTTAAAGGCCCTTTGTATGTGCATTGAGAGTCATAGGTGCATTTCGACATACTTTGTGTGTGATGGTTATCGATCAATTTTGTTTAAGGCATATGTTACATTTTCGTATCAGTACTATATGTACTTTCGGCACTATGTGTGCATCCATGGAATTCATAATGAGTTGTGAATTATCATTTCAACACTCGACATACTTTGTGTATGATGGTTATCGATCAATTTTGTTTAATGCATATGTTTCATTTTCGTATCAGTACTATATGTAATTTCGACACTATGTGTGCATCCATGGAATTCATAACGAGTTTGTGAATTACCATTTCGACACTCGACATACTTTGTGTATGATGGTTATCGATCGATTTTGTTTAATGCATATGTTGTATTTTCGTATCAGTACTATATGTACTTTCGGCACTATGTGTGCATCCATGGAATTCATAATGAGTTTGTGAATTTCCATTTCGGCACTTATGTGCAACACATGTACCTTGCATTCTCATTCAACATACATTGGGCAAATAAAAGGATAAATTAGAAAAATATTGATTAATAGGTATGTTGTGCATACTAAATATTTTTTCGCAGGTTATGTGAAAGAAACTTGGTTTACCAAGCCAGTTTTATGTATTATTATGATTTATATGATTTTAATTCGTATTTGATATTTTTTGTTATACTTATATTTTGGTTACACCTCATTTGCATTATTATTATGCCTCACTAAGTATATACTTAGCATGTGATGATTTTCACGTGTAGGTAAAAGTCATTATTAGAAGTAAAGAGTACAGAGCAACTCCAAGCATCAAGGAATATATCTACAATATCATTAAGACATCCTATGATGAAATTTTAACTTATTTTAGTGGCATATACTTATGAATATCATATTAGCTCTGTTGAACTATTTTGGAAAATGGTTTGTAATGATAAACTGAATCGTTTTATATTATTTTAAATATGGATAAGATGAACCAGTATTATTAATTTGAATGGACGTGTTTAATATATATATATATATATATATGTGTCTCTGTGTGTGTGTATGTATGTATGTATTTGAAGAATATTTTATAAACTATATTATAAAATTATTTTATCTAAAGAAACAAAATTTTACTGGTTTTCAAGTACTAAAAATGTTTTAAAAGTCATGTGACATCTATGACTTGTGTACGGAAGCATATACGAGAAATGCGTGTTACAAAGGAAGGTGAAGGTTCAGTGGTAGCATGTCATATGGTTTCCTTTGCATGTCCCTAAGTTCTCTATTGAGGCATGGATGACTATTCTTGATAGACTTCCTACTAAGGATAGGTTGATCCGTAGGGGAATGGTTTTGGATGGTATGTATAGGTTATGTGGTGATGGGATGGAATCTAGAGACCATATTTTTGGTGATTGTCTTTTTGCTTGTATTGTTTGGAATTCTGTCTTGCAGCTTTGTTATTTGCCTTGCAGGTTTATGAGTTAGAACGAATTGGTTATTTGAAGGGGAATTATTTGATTGTGTGCATTTTGAAGATTGCATGCATTTTGAAGATTGTGTGGACTGTTTTTCTATATTTTATCTGGGAAGAGCGGAATCATAGGCATTTTAGGGGATTTGTCGCACTCCTGAAGTTTTGTGGAATCATTAGGGATGTGATTTGTACTAAACTTGATGACTGTGTCATCAATAGAGAGTGTGAATCTGTAACTATATATTGCTTGGGGATTTCTTGTTAATCTTTTCTTTTCCTTGTTGGTTTCTTGTGGGTTGCTCTGTTGGGTTTTGTTGTGTGTAGTTTAATGTGTTGTTCTGGGATTTGGATGCTTTATGTAGGTTTTTTTACAGGGCTGTTGTTGTTTAGGGACTGTCAGTTATAGCTTTCTGTTGCATTTTTTTTTGGATATTTTGAAATAAAACTTTTACTTATCTAAAAAAAAATCTTGCGGAATAAAATATGACTTTAATTTACGATAAAATGAATGAACCGTCTATCATTATGTATCCAAGATGGGATATCCTGAGTATCAATTAGCTCATTATTTATTTAACTTCCCAATAATCAAGAATTAAGTTTTCCAATCTTAACGAGAATTTGGTTGAGTAATAATTTTAAGATCATATGAATCTTAATGTTTTAATTTCAAGTCTAATTATTTATGAAACTTTTAGTTTAAATTTTATTTTATTTTTTGTAAGTGGTCACTATGGGTGAGCTTAATAATTTTATAGATAAATATTTATACTAATTTAATTAAAAATATTAAAATATTATATAAATTATAACAATAAAATTTTATTTGATTTAAATGATGTGTTTATAGGTTGTTTGTGACGTGATAAGCTTATTTATAATAATATGAGGTAATTATATAATAATATTTGTTCAAATTTTTTTAATATATTGATAAAGCATATACTCTATAGACACAATTGTTCAAGCTCAGACCCTCTACGAATAACAACATTTCATTTTTTTCATTAAGACAACTTAATGAGTTCAAACTAAATCGTTTAAAACTAAGCTAAATTAACTAATAATATCAATTCAATCAGATTATAAAATTATACCAATTAATACTTTCGCCAATAATATATTAAAACAAATTGATCAAGCAAGCACATTTGGCAGGTTGGTCAAACTGCTCATCTTTGTTCTCTCATATCCCCTTAGTTCATAAGTTCTAGACCTACTAAGAGCAACACTTTATTTCTCCTCTCCTCTAGTTAGAATTAAGATCCATGCAAAAAACAAATTAATTAATAACACATGTAAGTTAATTTATAGTATTATTTGAATTATTTATATTCAGGTATTGATTCACACTATTTAAAAAGATAAGAAAATTATAATTTCTCTTTAATTTTCATGTTATTCTTTTTTTTGTAAAAAAAAAAAAGATAGAAATGAGTCTACGTTATCCTACAACTTTCCTTATTGATTCTAGCTTTCAACTCATCTAGTGTCTGGTGGAATTCATGTAAGCTTGGCTAAGGAATCGTCTATCTTGTTGCTTTCTCTTGGGACGGGCTTGACTTGAACGTCTCAGTCTTTCTGGAGCATGATGGATATATACTGGACGATGGTTAATCTCCTGTTATTGCCCGGTCTACCCCGAATTAGGTTGATAGTTTCTCTGCTGTCAGTTTCAAGCTGGATTTATCTAGTTCCAAGCTTCCAAGCTGCCTAGAGACCCTCGTATATTCCCAAATGCTCAGCTTCCAAGTCTGAACAGATGCCAAATTTCTTTATGAACCCTAAAATCCAATTTCATTCATGGTTTCTCATGATGCCTCCGCATCAGTGCCGTGGCTGGGGCGGTGCGAACTGCGCGACGGAGTAGGATCCCATTTTAGTATATCTATAGTGGCGTTTTTCAACAAACGCCACTATAGATGGATCTATGGTGGCATTTTTTAAAAATAAAACGTCACTATTGTTGCGGTTTTATTGAAAAACGCTACTATTATTACCCCAAAATCGAATATATCTAAAAAATAGGAGGCCCTTTATAAGAATTTATACAAGACCCCGAAAACCTACAATGGCCCTGCTCCGCATGCAGTTTCTCCCGAGGAGTTGTTCCGTG